ATAAATAAATTATATAAGTTTTACTACAAGCTGAAATAAGAATGCTAATTAAACTTTTCAGTTTCAAAGATCCAATATCTATATTCAAGACTCCAAACATTATGTATAAGTATAAATGTCCTAAATGTTTTGTACGTTATGTGGGATCCACCGACAGGTGGTTTCAAACACGCGTACTGTAACATGAACATTTTAGACCAAAGTCATTTTCCCATATCAAGAACAATATACAGGACTATATAAAGTTTTTGCAAGAGCCAATATTGAACTGATACTGTGCATAAAAGAAAATCTATAAATAGAATTTAACCGAGATCAAACTAACAAAATAGTGCTGTTAGTTTACTATTAACTTTGTAAACGATTTTGCTTTCTAATAGAAATATACTTCACATGAATGAAAACTGTTATGATCTTTAATAAATCTGTACTCTGAGGTTGTTCGATAATATGGTTGTCTGAAATCTGAAGAGCATTAAGCAAGAAGTTACATTTTTGAATTGCGCTGACAAAAGTACCACCAGTAAATTGTTAGATGACTGGTAAGCTCACACTACTAACACGAGAAGTCCGAAAGTGACACCAGACGGTCTGACTCAGCGACATTAGAATAAGTTTTAGGATTCTTTTATTCCATTTTTTATTTATTTATCATTGTAGACTTTATTAGTATCATTAAAAAGCGCCAATTTTCCCCTATTTCAATTTTAAGTGTATTTAGCTAGTATTAAGATACGTTCAGAGATACCTCACACACACACAAACTTACACGCAGCCAACTATGTCTCACACTTGAAAGAGAGAGGGTTCACTAAGCGGTGGTGGCAGAACATAATTTACAAAATACAGAAATAATTAAAGTCTATCAAAGAAGGGCGTGCGTACTAAGAAACACAGATACAAACCAATAAACACGCATTAAAGAATTTGAGCAGTATTCCATATGCTAGTAACATAATTCCAATGTAGCTGTCGTACCTTAAATGAATTTAATAAAATACAATGAAACCAGTGAAAAATTCAAAGTAAAAAATACCATTTACATAAAATTTTCTTTGTGAATTGCTGTTATCTTTTTCTTATTTAAATGACTATATCACTGTTATATTTGGCACTAATGAAGTTATTATCATTATTTTAATGTTAGGTATTTTATTATGCTTGTAATATTATGTATAGGAACTTCATTATACTTATTATTTGCTTTGTTTACATTCCTATAAGCCCCCCCCCGGTGGCACAGCCGTATGTCTGCGGACTTACAACGCTAGAAACCGGGTTTTGATACCCGTGGTGGGCAGAGCACAGATAGCTCTTTGTGTAGCTTTGTGCTTAATAACAAAGAACAACAACTTTTTAAGAAAAAAAAAGTGTTTACAAGCATCCTAAAAATTTGTTATTTTTTCAACGACTTGCTGCTGGAATAGATTAAAAGTAATTATACTTATTTTAATATTGTTAACATCAAACTGACACATATATATTAGTGTGCATGAACGCTTTTTTCTCAGTAGTACTTAATATATATATATATATACATATATATAATGAATTTTGTCGAAGGTTAAGCTTCAGCCATAAAGTGAACAGTCAAAGTGAAAAACATTGGCATTTCGATTATAAGGTATACAGTTTAATATGGTATTCCACCAAACCACATACCACATGTAACTTTCCGTTACAATTGTTTAACGTCATGGTGAAGGACCGTTAACATTTATTCTAAACCAGTATAGTACTAACTTGGCAAACGTCCTTGAAACAAACTTAAATCCTATGTATGACACTTGTCAGCTTCTGTTACAAGTTATTCTAGATTATAAAACACAAATACTTAAAACATTTTATTCCAATGTTGATAAAGGAGATGACAACACAAGTAAGGTATTCTTCGCAAGGCACATACTCTAAAGTTCCACATAGCTGAACAGTTTGTTCATATTTCGTCAATTTCTTGAATCGTGTAACTCTAACACACTGCATAATATCTAACAGTTATCCTACATAGATAAGTCCCGGTCTGAGTGGCCAGCTACCCTCTAATATTTTTCGCCTTAACTAAATAAACCTATGAAAATAAATT